ATTCGGGTTGTTACACAATCGAACACAGTTCAGTGTATTACGTTCATTGGTTGTGTTCGGTGAAGACATTCCCTTGAGCAAAGGTCATGTTATGTAGTCAGAGTGCCCGCTTGGTTACTGTATCTAAATTCTGGTAAACCTGCATACATAGTAAGCCCATCCAAACCACGTTTTCCCGTCCTGTTTTACTGACTATTCACTGACCAAGTAAACTGACCACGACAGTGAACTGAAAGAACAGATTCGAACAAAGCTATCATTATTCCAGCGTATTTCCCGCGTATTTTTACATCTTCTTACTCTCCTATTTTCTTTAAAAATTTGAAGTCTTCGTCCTCCTTCTCGTCAAAGCGGTACTCTTGGACCTAACCCTTTACTACGCAGTTTTGCTAACCACCCATAGCACATCTGAAGCCATTTCTCCAGAATTTCTGTAGTTACGAAAAACACGTGATACACTGAAGTAGCTCGAGCCTACAGAAACTTGTTGTTGATTTTCAAGACTGGTTTACAAAAGTCAAGACTTCGGAAATCGAACGATCAATTGAGTTCGATTGTCCAAATTTTTTGTGTGAGTTCGATTTCATTAGATNGCACAGAAAATCGAGGATTTAACGGAATTCAAAAATTTTTTCGCAGAACTATTTCAAATAATAAGTAGATTCGTTCTAGCGAAAAAAATTTTTGGGGTTAGGTGCACTTTAATAAAAAAAGATGTCGTTGCGCGCAGGGTTAATAACGCTACATCGATGTCTTTACAACGAACGAAATAAAGCAATTTAAACATATTCGGGTTGTTACACAATCGAACACAGTTCAGTGTATTACGTTCATTGGTTGTGTTCGGTAAAGACATTCCCTTGAGCAAAGGTCATGTTATGTAGTCAGAGTGCCCGCTTGGTTACTGTATCTAAATTCTGGTAAATCTACATACATAGTAAGCCCATCCAAACCACGTTTTCCCGTCTTTTTTTACTGACTATTCCCTGACCAAGTAAACTGACCACGACAGTGAACTGAAAGAACAGATTCGAACAAAGCTATCATTATTCCCGCGTATTTCCCGCGTATTCTTACATCTTCTTACTCGTCTATTTTCTTTAAAAATTTGAAGTCTTCGTCTTCCTTCTCGTCAAATCGGTACTCTTGGTCCTAACCCTTTACTACGCAGTTTTGCTAACAACCCACAGCACATCTGAAGCCATTTCTCCGGAATTTCTGCAGTTACGAAAAACACATGATACACTGAAGTAGCTCGAGCCTACAGAAACTTGTTTTTGATTTTCAAGACTGGTTTACAAGAGTCAAGACTTCGGAAATCGAACGATCAATTGAGTTCGATTGTCCAAATTTTTTGTGTGAGTTCGATTTCATTAGATCGCCAACTAAATCGAACTCAATCTAGTTCGATTGAAATTCAGTTCGATTGGGTTCGATTGACCATATCGGGGTTTACTGCAAGATCTTGCGAAGGTTGAGCTTTAAGGCCAAGTTATTCTACTCAAAAGGACCGAGAATCCTCAGTAATAGCTCAGTACTGCTGACGGTTTTTTTCAGACTATGTTATTGTTACTTCAAGTGTACGGTGTGGCAGTCCATGGCGCGCGGTAACGGGGGGGGGNGTTCGTGGAATTCGGTCGAACTTCCTAAATTAAAAAAGGTAAGTCATTATAACACGCTGACTTGGCCTCAGAATGCTGGAAATCCTATTTCTGAGCACCTCACATTTAAGGGGGAGGATGCCCCCGGACACCCCTAAAGGGTACCGCGTTCGGCGGTCCGTATCTCGAACCCCTTTCTCTAAATTCCTGTATCCGCCCCAGGTGAGCAACTGAAAATTCGAAATGTGTAATGTCAGAGGGATGTTAAAGTTTCGAGTTGACTAATTTATAAAGCTGCGCTGAGTAACACAAATTATCTTGTCTTGATTTTGTCATGTTTAACCTTTCCCTATGGCCGAAGAAACGGACCGTCGAGGCTGGTGCGACCAGATGGGTGTAAAATGCTTCATTCTCTACCCTAGAGGGTATCAAACGTACGGGCGCAAAGTTCATGCAGCGATCAAGCAGGTTTTTATTTTCCTTTATTATTAAAGAAAGTCGGGCTGTCGTCAGTGTATTTCCAAAATTACCCTCTAATGTAACGGAGACTCACTCACACTTACCGAAAAATGCTCTAATCATTCAAGTATTTTTCTTGTGAAGTTCGACAAAACGTGTAGAGTAATTTCAATACGCCGGTGGACATTGGACTCTGCATTGTCAACAGTTAGTTATCTACCACAACCGCAAGAACACTGACAGTGCAGATTTCAAGAGCATCATAACAAATTAAACGCATGTTAATGTTCATATATGGCCTTAGGTGTCCTGAGGGGCAGGATGAGGATAAGTAAGTAAGTAATGTTCGTATAAACCCCTTGTCTCTACTGTTGTATATATATGTGTGAAATCATGAGAAAAACTTTTCGAGATGTATAGTTCTGTCTCTTTGGTTTAATTTCTTTTCTTCTTTTTCTCACATGTTTCGTGACGTGATGTTTAACACGTTCATCACTGTGTGACTCGTGGCACCTCCGAGTCTATTGAAAACAACATTTTAGAAACAATGAAACAATGAAACAATGAAACCTAAAAGGTAGGTTATCACGCTACAAGTGAAGTGCGTATGAGGTTAGCGCTCGAAGCCTCGGAATTGTTGAGTGCCAAGGTCATTGCTATGCAGGGTTTCATATAGCCTGCAATGCCAGCCATATCCCCCCTCAGCCTGGGTTTCATAGATTTTCATGCATTTAGAGAAAAGACTACCAGTGACTATCGTATTGTGGTAATCGTTTGGCTAAAAATTTCAACATGCTGTGTTTCTGTCAAAGAATTTGTCTGAAACGATTCAAAGCATCCCACTTAAAATGCACTCTAATGGGTCTTGACGTCCTTAAAAACTCTCGATTGTTATTCACGTTTCATCGGTCACTTATCAATTCAAAAATACTTTGTGTTCAAGTTTTTGATTGTAAAAAATTTAAACGCAGTGTTTGTTATGATTGCAGCAATTAACTATCCAGGCATTTCGTCCCCATCTTGATTTGTGAAAATAACATCTATCTCTCTTTGGTTTTGTACAGCCTCACCAAAATTACTCCACTTCTAACAAACGAATATGTTGCTTTAAAGGCATCTATATCTGTTGTGTGACTGGTGTCTCCAAAAAATTAAAATACAGAGCTACCATTTTCAACTACGATATTGACTGGGCTTAACTCCTCGCAAATAAGATTGAAGTGAAGGTGCTGAACTCTAAATTCTCTCGCTAGTTATTTCACGGGAATTTCAAGTTTGTACACGGATGGGACAAAATCGGAGTTATAGAACGTCAGAGATCGCTATAATTTTAACTACCTTTCACCCCCTCCTTAAAACTGATTAAACGGTTTTCCAAACATTGCAGCTAGAATATACCGCTCCCCTGCAAGACCAGAAGGAACACGATGCCAAAAGCCAGCTGATTGGAGAATTTAAAAAATTGTAGTGTACTGATTGGTTCGGTATCTATCTTATGTTTGTATACGGATTCAGAGTTGATCGAGTAGACCGATTTCCCACGTTTCCTTTTAGTATGGTGTTTTGGTTTACCACGAGTTGGAAATTTAGCCAAGTCATCAGTCCAAAGAAGGCTGTCCGATCCTGCCTTTTCTCGACTCATTTGCGACTTGTTAAGTCCTTTATTACCAAGCGGACGAGTAGACAAAGAACTACCTTTTATGCGATTTACAGCATTATAGAGTTGACCAAGAACACCTTGAGAACTTGGTAGATTCGAGTTAGCTTTCCATTGATGGACCACTGTTTCGGTTTTCAAAGATATCATACAACATTCTGCGCTTATCAAAACAAGTTTTACTTCATTTAGTGACCTTTATCTAAAATTGTATCACCTGATTTTTTGAGTGCGGCCATTAAATATATTATCATGCAGATAGACATTGTATCTAAGTACAGTGGTCATCGATCAACTTATGACATGATTGACAGGTGACAAGTGAAGTTATTTTATGCCGCCACATAAATCAAATCAAATCAAATCAAAACTTTATTTATCGAGGGTGACACGTAATAGTTTATCAACATAATTTATCACAACAACTTTATTCCACTATTTCCATTTCTATATCCGTAGCATTACCGATATAGTGGTACAAGCAACTGATACTCGCGTTAAGATTACAACAAAGAAATATGTATTAAAAGTGGAAATGTGGGCGTATTTCTAGATAACAGAATTACAGAATGAATAAATGTGATTTTTTTTCTTTTCTCCATGGCTCGAAAGATAAAACCAAAAGTTAATCTACATACATATGGTCAGCATTATTGGAAAGAAACGATCAGTACTTTTTCATCATAATCTTATCAAAATTCATTAATAGTCTATTCCGTTCATTGATTTTCTCAAAAAGTAAATTTCTTAGGTCATCATATAATTTGCAATGAAATAAAACAAATATATAATTTTGCGCTCACTACAAAACCGAAAACGTGGAGGCGCGGTAGCCTCATAGTTAATGCGCTCGCCTCCGAATCGAGGAGTCCGGGTTTGAGCCCTGGCTGGGGATATTGTGTTGTGTTCTTGGGCAAAACACTTAACTCTAACAGTGCCTCTCTCCACCCAGGTGTAAAAATGCGTATCGGCAAATTTAATTCTGGAGGTAACCTTGGGATGAACTAGCATCCCATCCAGGGAGAGTGGAAATACTCCTAGTCGCTTCATGCTACAGAAACCGGGATAAGCTCCGGCCTGATGGGCCACTTGGCTTCAGACTTAACCTTGCAAAACTGAACCCACTCAAGGCTATGAGGGATGGGCACGTTGGTCAGCCAGACCCAAGATATGTTTTAATTGACACATCAATAAGATTACAGCAAAACGGATAACCGTTTCATCGATATCCTACGTGGACCAAAGACAGACAGGTAAACCCTAAAACCTCTAATTAGGAAGACTCGGGACCGTGTACCCACGATTAAACCTTTGGGGTTTTAATACATAATAAAAGAATGAGAGATAAATTAAATAACACTATTTACACAACACTAGAGCAAAATTGTACCTTATCCCAATTTGCGAGTGGCAAGACTGACTGTAGAATGTCACAAGTTGGTTCACACCTACAATCCTGGTCACAAGTGTTGGGACAGTTCACGGCGGATGACTTCACAGGCAGCCTCTCTTAAGACCAAGACCCCCTCCCCCTGTCAATGTTGATAAAAATCTTGAAGAAATAAAACCTTGAAAATAGCTTCAGAATAGCCACGTTTCAAGAATTGTTCGCCTCCTAGGACAGTATTCTCCAACTAAAGAGACGATAAGATAGATATTTACGTCTTATTCCAATAATAACGATTTTTCAGCAATCACGTTCGGTTCCAACACAACTGTCTAACCACTTTCTATTGTCCCTTTTTCCTTTTTAACCACATCCGATCTAGTCTTCAGAATAGCTTCACTTTCTTTCAACATTGCTAGGGGGGAGGGGGGTCAATTATACTTGCTTCTATTCATCTTTTTTTCTAAAACGTCAAGGACATAGTTGAAATCGTGGATTTTAGCGCGCAAACGGGGAGGCGTCCTAACAACTTATGGCCAGGATTGTAGACACAACTTAGAGAAATAAATTCGCGTTTTTCAATCATTCTTTTTCCCAACTGCTGTTATCACGTTTGTCATAGATACTCTCTCACACTTCCGAGCAATATGTTAATATTGGAAGAGAAGAGTATCAAAAAGCTTATTTTAACCCAAAGAAATCAAGGTGAACCTTAGTTTAAGATTGTTAACAATTTGAAGAGTTCTTCGTTAAAGAGAAATTCATGTTAGTCTTTTAGTGATTCTCCTCTTTTCTTCTTTTCTTCTTTGGACTGATTAACTGCTGAGTAGCCAATCCTGACAGTGTAGTGATAATCTGTTAAGATTGTCTTGTAATCATTCACCTGAGTTACAGATCAGAAGTTAATCGTCTCCACAAAGAAGACAATTCAGGTGAGAACCATCTGACTGGTAATGAAATAGGGTCTACTGCATTGTTATTTGGAATGTAAGGTAACTCATTTTAAAAATAAAGGGTAAAGAGTAGTGGGGAGAAAACGCTACCTTGTGTAACACCTTTAATATAACAAGACAAACAACTGTCGCACCGCCTTTGTCGGCCGCTATGGCTTAGGAGAGCGTTTCCGCGGACATTTCAGAGTCGCAAAAACAAGGATAAATACGTCTACAACCTGTCTCCTGTCTCCAATCTTTTTAATCTTGTCGGCCATTCTTCGAGAAACATGATTGCTTTTGGTATTTCTCTCCATGAACGCAACACTGGCGGAGGGTCGTAAAAATTCAGAACAGAAATTTACCTTTCAACTCGGTACCTTAGCTCCCCATAGAATCAATGAAGATTTTTCATTTAACTAATGAAATCATCCAGGCATTTTCTGTTGCCATGCTTCCTCCAATAGCGTAACTCTGTGCTCCACTTTATAAACACGCATGCAACCCACAATGCTCCACTGTCGTAGTAACTTTAGTAGCCGCAGCAGTAGAAGTAGTAACTTTACTTTGCGGTGACAAAGCCCTGACGCTCGAAACGCGAGCTTCGCTAACTCCCTAGGACGGTTGACCTACCTTCAAGTTGATAAATGGCAATGATAATTCTATGAACTACTAGGCCATTTTTTCCTCGTGGTTTATTCACGGTCTTGCTCGATGGACTAAGCGAAGAAGGGACTACTCGTAATCTATCTATGAACCGGCTACTTTGGAGCACATTGATTTGCAAGTCCACCGAGACGTTTTTAATTACATTATCTGTCTTTCTTGACGGATGACGCATGCTCGACGTCAAACTAATGTACATTATTAAAACACACAGTGTGGATAAGTAGAGAAGATGACCTGAGTGATAGTTTTGGCTGAACTCTCTCTATGTGTTTTAACATTTCAAGGTCTTAAAGAAGTTGTAAATATGTGTAGATGTGAAGAATAGTCAGCTGATCAGGGCCATTTGTAGAATGGTCTCAGTTGTAGATAGGAAAAACGCCGTTAGCGGTTCACACTAGCGGGTATTGAAGTTACTCAAAAATTTGTTCCTGTCTGGTGAAGCTTCATAAAGAGACCTTTTAGGGTTTGATGTAGCTTGTTCAATATCAAAATAATTGTCCGCTTTCATTTGTGGGATTTTTTTGTGTTAAGTAAAACCACAAGTGACCTAAGTGATAGCTTGGGGTGAACCATGCCTTCTTATCTTTTATTTTTGGGCGTTACATAGCTTGTAAACATCTAGATGTCCAGAATTGGCAGCTGATTCCATTTATCGGCTAGCAGAAAAAAAAAAACTGCCGTTAGCGGTTCGCATCAGCGGGAATTAATGACGTTAAAGTTACCGTAATTTTGGCTCTACCTGTCTCTGTCTCTGTCGGTCTGTCTGATGAAGTTTCATCAGAGGGAAAACATTCTTGTGGTTTGATACACATATAGCATGCTTGGCGTCGAACCAATTGCCCGTTGTTGAAGCACATTTTAGGAGGAATAAAGTAACTCTAACTTCATTGATACTGCGATTTGAAGCCTTTGCTTTTTGCATTTCTATGTGTTACAGGAATATATCAAGGCTTAGATATAGGGAGGTTCTATTCTCTATTTCCCATCTGATCAGTGCAGTCAATTGACTTGCTGGCTGGGAAAAAAAAAATCGCCGCGAGCGGTTCACATCAGCGGGAATTAAAGTTACTGTAAATTTGGTTCTGTCTGATGGATTTTCACAAAGGGAAGAGCATTGTTTACGATTTGATAAAATTTAATAACCCGTTCACCGAGACCTCGAGGGCAAGGCTATTGTTCCGCGTACGGAAGGTTTTGTTTTGGAAAAGCTCTTGTGGGCGTTGCTGCCACCAACCACAAACAAGCGTTTTGTCAACCACAGATATTTATGACTGACTGTTTGATTGATTAGTTTTTTCATACTTAAACACGAGTCTTTCAACGTTCTATTTTAGTTGAGTTCGCGCTTTTTACGCGCCGTGGTAAGCTACCAAAACGCGCGTGGCGAAGTTTACTTCATGGCGAGCGCGAAGCACGCGACACGCGCGGTTTGAGATTGCGTGCGTCTTTCGCATGCATTTTACGGCTGGCATGCGGGAGCTCCAATGCGTGAGCTCCTCTACAAAAGAGTTTACATTTTAATGCACAGGTTTCGTAGAATGCAAGTAATTTGTTCGTTAGCTTATCTTCCCAAGAAATCATTTCCAGTCGCTATTTTTCACATCTGCCTCCGACGTTTCACAGACACCAGACTAAGCCCAGCGATCCTGGTGGAGTTTGCTGTTACACGCTCGTGGCGTGGCTTACAACAGGGCGGCACTGCGAGCGTAAAGCGCAAGACACGCCCAAAATTTCAATGTCCTCGCATGCCGCGCTTTTTTTGTGGGTAGTGCCCGCACGCGTTCGTGTTGAAGCTTGTATTCATAAGAGCTTACGTGTGCTGCCACATCATGTTTCTCAAAAGGTGACTTTTTGTTCTGCAGGAGACTTGTACCTCCAGGGGAAATTGTATTTATCTTTAAAGGAGCTTAGTCACAGTTTGCACATATTGAAAAGTTTAGCCTCAATTTTTCAAATTCGTCGTTTGTAATCCGTGTTAATCTTCTCCATCCTTAGCCATCCTTGTTCCTTTATGGTTTATTATTATCTCTTTGGTGTT